TGAAAATAAAATAGCAAACATGCAAACACACAATGAAAGAATGTGAGCGCTTGATACAGATCAGGCCAATTGATGTGTGCTTCGAGTCTGAGTTCAACCGACTGAGAGCACAATTGAGGTGTAGGGGTGAGCAACCCATAAAAAGATATGCAGTTAATAAAAGTGCAACTAGGCATAGCCCGTTCCTAGTTGAGCATGCCCCCAGTTGAAGGTGCCTCGATCAGGGTACAATTAGAAAGAGAGAGTGCATGTGACCTTGGAAAGTTTGTATTTCTTTTTGTTTTTTCTTTTTCTTTGTGCCTCTTTATTTTTAATGAACTGAGAGAGAAGTAGAAAATGCTGAATTACAAGCAAAACAAATAGAAATAGATTTTTTTTTGACAATTTGTTTTTGTATTTTTTTTAAAGAGGAAGGGGCTTGAAGATTTTTTTTTTTTGTTTGAAGAAATCAAGTGACCTTGAAAAAAAACTTTTTGTAGCAAAAGTGGCTTTTTTTTTTAAACGACATAGGCCTTCAAAAATTTCCTTTTTTTTTTTGTTAAAAAAAGAAAGGCCTTGAAAGTTATCTTTATTTATTTATTTATTTATTTTTTGTTAAGGTTTCCTTTTCCATGTTTTCTTTTTGGAAGGGAAAAGGAAACCAAAGTGGCGTAGAAAAGCCCTTTTTTTTTTTTTAAGGCAAGGACATCTTTAATTTTTTTTTTTTTTTAACCTATGAAGAAGATTGAATTTTTTTTTTTTTTGAATGAAATAAAATCAAAATTTGTTTTCTTTTTTAAAATGAAATTTTTATTAACGATAGAAGCCTTTTTTTTAAAGGCCTCAAAAGGAAATTTTTATTAGCCAATTTATTTTTAAAAGAAAAGAGTCTGCAATGGATTTATATTATTATTATTATTATTATTATTAAAACAAATTAGGCAACAAAATGGTATTTTTTTTCTTTTGCAAAGCAAATTTTTTTTCTAAAAAAAAATAAGAAGGGCCTTAGTTTTGTTTTGTATATATATATATATATTGTTTTAACAAAGAAGCCTAAAAAAGTGTTGATTTTTTTTTTTCTTAGGAAAGTGAATTCTTTTTTCTTAGGAAAGTGATTTTTTTTTTCTTAAGAAAGTGATTTTTTTCTTCTTAGGAAAGTGATTTTTTTTTTTCCTTTTTTTTTTTGGATAAGGAAGTTTTTTTTTTTTTTTTTTGGTAGATAAAGTGGTTAAAGAAAACAGTTCTTTTGCTGGAAAATATATATATATATATATTCCTCTTGTTTTCTTTAGAAGAGGGTAAACAAGCGAACCAACAATTTCTATCTCTAAAAACAAAGTACCTTTTTCGTTTTAAAGCAAGGAAGGTAAATCCAAATTGCGCAAACAAAATATTACAGGAACAAGGATATGTATTAGACGGTCGACCAAACCATCAGGGTTTGAGCTCCCACAAAAGCATCGTTAAGAGAACCTTTCTGATCTAATAACTATGCGATACTTCAATCACCCCAGGACCAATTGAAAAAAAAAAAACAATGCCGAAATATGCTCCAAATCAATCTCTCTAAAAAACCGATTCGAAATCAACCATTAGAGGGCGAAATAGATATGGTTTAAGCATCAATATCACATGCCAATAATATGGGGAAATATCAGATGCTAATAATACGGGGTCCATCAAGTTAGGGCATTTTGACAACACGTCGTCCTCTTTAATACAGGTTTCTAAGCCTTGGGTTTGGAAAGATAACGAGGCTGATCTATAATAACAAACATGCACACCCGTTTCACAGGAACAACGTTCACAGGAAGAACAGCAAAGGTTGTAGAGAAAATGAAAGAAGCTAGATTAAAAAGAGAAGAAGCAAAAGTTTCTCTAAGAAAAAAAATACCTTTTTTGTTTTCTTCAAAACATGGCGCCCTCAAAAAGAGATCTCGGGTTGTTTTTTTTTTTTCTCGTGCACAGATCTAGCTCGAAATGTCCGACAATGAGCACCAAACTGTTTATGATGTAAATCGGAGATATCTTCAAAGGAAGATCCTTCAGATCCGTATTAGAAACTAAGTTTAAAAGTGATCAAGAGTGAGAAATATCAAATTCTGATATGAGACCAGATATATTAAAAAACGATTTGATCCGCTCTCAGATCAGTGGTAGAGTCAGCATCAATCCAAAAAGCACGAAAGATTGAAAATTCATAATTCTAACAAAATAAATGAAAAATAAGAGAAAAAGAGATCATGAGGAAAATACCTGACAGTTGGCCCGGGACACCCAAAGCTTCAAGGCCTTGCCCGTATTAGAACCACGGCTGTGTACGTATGTCATCTGTTGTTCTCTATTCAAGCTTGATTAAACCTTGGCTTGGTTGAACTAGAGTTTTGCTGATCTAGGCTAAAAGTTGATTTCAAGAGAGTTGGGTTTTAAGGTTAGGTTGGGTTGGGATTTAAGGTTGTTTCTCTAGATCTAAGGTTGCGCTCTAGCTCTCTCTGGTTTCTTAACTCATACGTTCTCTCATTTTTCCAGTTCTTTCTCTCTCTCGCTAACCACATAAGAGTCTCCTTCGTTAAAATGATCTCAAGAATATGTTAAGGCCCAAAAACGCATGAAATGATAACCTTTTTAAAAACAACCAAATCTGCCAGTTGAAATTCAATTTTGGGGGTCAAAGGGGCCAGGTAAATTTGACCAAAATTAACAGTTTTTATTTTGGGATGATTCACGTATTTTTGTGATATTGCTTGAAAAAAATCAAGTAAAAATAAGTGGTTTTGCAATTTTATTTGATTTATTACTAAAATAATGGTCATGTAGGATTCTAGATCACAGGTTAGGAATCACGAACTATGATGGTCTATGATTTGGGGGTTTGCTGGAATAGTGTGGTCCTAAAGGTTCAGAAATATCACAGTATTTACCAATTTCAAAATGGGGTTGCCAGCACACTTATTTTAAAAAAAAAGTACCTAAGCCTTTCCAAACCCTTTCTTATGTACAACAACTTAAAGAAAATTAATAGAGATACTTGTAAAGAGAGAATGACTTCACCTTACTCTTCCTTGTTCTTCTTAATTCATTTGTTTCCTTTTAAAACACCTTTTAAGGGGGTTCAAATAGGGAAAGAAAAAAAAATAAAAATTAGGCCCTTTTTTTTGTAAATATTTTAAAAACACATTTTTTTTTTTAACAGAAGAATGGGTAATATACGCTCCTACCCATTTTAGAAATGATTAGTGGTTTTTTGAATTTTTTAACAGAAGAATGGGTAATATACGCTCCTACCCATTTTAGAAATGATTAGTGGTTTTTTGAATGCGTCAATGGGAATGGAAACCAAGGCCTAAAGCTTGGATAGTACGACCTTAAGAGTTATTCGTATCATTAATCTAGTGTAAGTGAAATTAATCGGACCCAAAACCTAACTTTTGGCATTTCTTCCATTCGCTCCCTCAGTTAAATTTTAATCTAATTGTACTTTGCATTTAATTTTTTGAGGTAATAAACTCTTGGACCATGTATCCAACCTAAAGTTAATTTTAAACATAAGTTATCGTGTTCTTTGATGGTCATATCCAAATTTGTAACAATTCAAATTTTTTTTTTTTAAAAAATGATCTGGTGATCGTTAAGTGGTCCCTAAAATTTAAGTAAACGAAAATTGTTTCATGTGGGCTTGATCCCATTTCTACAATATGCAGTTCTAAAGGATAAAGATGGATGCAAATAGGTGATCCATATAAAAAGTTCTTAATAGAGTTATTATTTCAAAATTTTAAAATTTATTTATTTTTTGATATTTATAATCTCCATGTTAGAGATTATATTTCCTTAAAATCCATCTAAAAAAATATATATTTTAAGAAGCGCGCCTCATTTCTACGTAGAAGTAAATAAACATCCTGCCAAAGGAGAGGGAGAGGATGGGCGAGTAGAATGGCAAAGCGCCAGGCGAGCCTATGGCCAATGCCGGCCCACACCGGGTCAATGGGGCCCTTGCCCAGTCCCAACCATAGCAGTTTCTAAGCTAGGCCATGTCAAGCTCACTAGAACCAATAAAAAAAAAAAAAAAATTTCAGCCCAACCACACCTCTGTTGGGCTCCTACCTGACCCTGACCTTGACCCTGACCCTGACCCTGACCCTAACCTCGACCTCGACCGTACTTGTCATTCAGGCAATGTTTAGTATGGAAAATTACAAACCACCCCCCCCCCCCCTTCCCTCTTCCTATATTTTATTCACTCAACTTATCCCTATCTGACTTTTCTCTCTCATCTTTTTCCCTTCCACAAATTATCTTCCCAAAAACCCCCCAACCCAAAAACAAAAGTAAAAAAAGGTCTAAAATACCTTTTTGTCTTCATACCCCTTCTCTACGCATCCGAAGTTTTTCCACGCGTTCTGGCACTATAGAAACACGCTTCGGCACACAAGCTTTTGGGGCCAGAGCCCTCCGGCAGTCAGATCAGCACCTTCGACAATAAGCCACTTCGATCCGGAGGTTTAGTACGTTGCTTCCGCGATACATTCTGTGCTTCGACGATATCTACATGCGCTCTGACAAATACTCTTTTGGAGCACATCGCTTCGGCGGTGTGGCAGCGCGCTCCGGCATTGTTTGATCTTGCTCCGGCAGTGGCTATTGCAATCCGACAGTCATTTCAAAGCAGTTCGGTGTTGTTGTTCTTTGCTCAGGCAATAAACAACTTAAGACCGCCAATTGAATTTTTATTGTACGACAAGGATATTTTTGTCTAAAAAATTACAACTCTTAGCTTTGGGGGGTTTTTGCAAAAAAATTATTGAGAGGAAAAAAGTGTGAGACAAAATTTGAGTAGGGTAAGTTGAACGAATAGTGTGTTCTTGGAAGATTTTTGTAATTTTCCCCATTTTAGTCACCTAAGCTTCAATGGCACCACGTTGCCTACCCCTTTCTCACGAGGTCGCTACCTAACCGTCAAAATGCCCATGGTTAATGCCTCAATTGCCCAAAACACCCCCACATAAGCCTGACTTTCTGGATTTTCTCAACCAGAGAGGGCTTCATTAAAGAAGAGGAGAAGGTGTCCTAGAAACACTATAAAATAGCTCAGCGCTCTCAGTGGCCTTTTCATTGAACATTGACATAAGAGTTACAAAAGCTTTGATAGGCAAGAAATGGCGACTGTGTCCCCCGTCTCCGAATTGCGGGTTGAAGGTTACTCATTTCCGCCGGCCGTGAAACCACCAGGTTCCTCACAATCTCTCTTTCTCGCCGCTGCAGGTTTGTGTTTTGGCTTGATATCTTGCCCTCTTGTTTATGTACAATCACTTTGTCTAAGATAGACCAGAGAGGATTGGCGAGTCTGGGTCGACTCGCCGAGTCTATAATTAACTGACCAAGGATTGAATTGGTTATTAATTATTTACATTTTAATCAATTGAACATACCCCTGAATTGGGAGATGTTCCCGGCTCCGTGTTCTGCGGGGCTGGAGTGAACTGAGCCGGAAATCATAAAATAGGTCGTTGTTTGAGTTGCAGCTGCTTTTGATCTTGTACAATTTAGGGTTGATAATGGATCTGCAATGCCTTTTGATTATTTTGTTCTGGCTGTTTAAAGATTAGCTGTGTTTTCTGTTGATGATGAAGGGGTGAGGGGGTTGGAGATACAGGGAAAATTCATCAAGTTTACTGCGATTGGTGTGTACTTGGAAACTGATGCAATTCCCCATCTTGCTCTCAAATGGAAGGGAAAATCGGCAGCGGAACTTGCAAATTCCGACCAATTTTACTCCGATGTTATCAAATGTATGTCACAAAAACTTTATCCACTACCAAATGTATGCCAAAAGGTCACAAGGACTATTTATCATTTATTGGATGGTGTGAGTAATTCGGCGCAAAAATCAAAATAAAATTTCTCAAACTATGTGATACACGATTAGCATAGAAGGCTAAAGATGATCATGATGTCTACGCATTAAAATGAATAATTTTGTAGAATATAATCAACTTTATATATCCTTGAGAAACTACATGTGGTCATGAGTTATCGGATTGGAGAGGGATGAAGTAGTGAGATAGTCACCGGATTAAGGATCCGATCATTGTTAATCTACATTTGTCATTTCTCTTGTGATCGTGAGGAACATTGTATGGTTTATCATTTTATATTTAGGAAATTGTATATTATGACATTATTTATCTTTAGTATAAAAAAGTCACGATTAATTCTAACCGATATCCAATCGGACGACTTAAACTTAGAATTTTTTTTTTTTTTTTTTTTTTTTTTTTTTTTGGGCTTTTGAGTTTAGTATTAAGTGCATTTATAACTATATGATTTGAAATTTGATGGAGAAGAATGGTTTTGACTTGTACGAAAAGTAACTGGTATTTTTGTATAGTTTTGGAATATTTAGGGGTTAATATCGTAATCCTAACTTTTTCTATTCCTAAAACCGATGTGTAAACAATAATCATCTGGTCAGCATCGCCCACTAAAATCATGTAGAATTATTGAGAGTAGTGAGGCTTGCTAGGCAGTAATTTCTTGCCCCGGCGGGTCCTCTCATACTCTTTCTTGATCTACAATGGCAATGGCTATTGCTGATGCTGACTACCGGGCAGTAGTATCTCTATAGCAGCATTTTAAAACGTGATATCGGCCTAGTCAGCAACAAGTCCCGCTTCAAAAACCAGAAGAATCGGATGATTTTGGGGTTGTCCATAACAAAATTACCAATCCACCTGTTCCTATTTGAATTAGCATTTTTTAAAATATTGTTCCATACAAAATATCAGTCCACTTTTTCTTAAAGTGCAGGGGATGCATTTTGCAAAGGGATCGTATAGCATTGTGCTCGTTGGCCTGGCCCAATCAGACTGGCCCGACAAAACTAGGGCCTTGGCATAAAATGTGGCCTGAGCCAATATGGCAAAAGGACAAGGTCAGTCGAGCCTGGGCCAGGGCCGCGACAATACGGTTGCCGTTTGGCCTGACCAACCCTTTTTTCTCCTTATTTTAACTTTCTTCTGTCTACTTCTACCATGCTTGGCCAAGCCTGGCCGCGACAAGGCCAATACTAGGCATCTTCAGCCAACACTGGGTAAGGCTGGGCTTGGGCTTGGGCTTGGGCTTGGGCTAGCTCTATATGGACTCATAGTTGGCACAATCTGTCCTAGGTTCAGCACATTACCACCCCAACAATAATGTCAACAAATTTTTAAAACCCTAATCGGTGGGGTATATCGTTCACCTACTAACCCATTTCGGATTGCTAGATTAGTGATCAAAAGCGGGTTTGAATTGGTCTTAATCAGGGATCTAGAAAAATCTTAGGCAATAAATAAAATAAAATAAAATTACAATAGGGCTTATTAGGTTGTTATTTTGTTGGGACTTAAAGAACATTAAATAAGTATTCCCGTAAGATCTGTACCATTTTTAGAGTTTTGAATTTCATTGTCGGTGTTGGAAATTTATTTTAGAGCTGAAAATTTTCGTTGCTGAAAGTTCTTTTTGGACAAGGATTTGAGGTGAGGCTTTCTTTTGTTTTCATAAAGCCTAGGCCATAGAGAATCCTCATCCTATATATAATGACTTCTATAGTACAAGAATTAACAATCCATACGAATGAGTTGCAATTTGTCTTACAAGAAGATACCTAATCTAACAATTTATTATTTATCTTGATATAAAGATGGTCATAATTATCCGTAGCAGCGAAATGATAATATTTGTGGGGTACATGAACTCAAAATTAAAGAAAGATACAATTAAAGTTTTGTAAAATTGCCTAATTTGTCACTGTGGTGTACATAGTAGTCTTACGGTATACAATCTATATATGTGTAGGTCCATTCGAAAAATTTACAAGGATTACAACTATATTACCCTTGACCGGTGAGCAATATTCAGAAAAGGTGGCAGAGAATTCTGTTGCAGGCTTGAAAGTGGCCGGAATATTTGGGGAAGAAGAGGCCGCGGCCGTTGACAAATTCAAAGAAGTCTTCAAGGGCCTTAACTTCCCTCCCTCTTCCTCCATCCTCTTCACTTACTCCACCTCAGGCTCATTAACGGTAACCACCCTTCCCTATACCTACCCAATAAAAGATACTTAAATTTTATGTGGCTTTCTATTGAAATTTGCTGGTGTTTTAGCATTTTTGGTGTTTATTTTTTATTTTTATTTCTTTATATGTTTACTATTTTTTTTTTTTTATGAAACAAAAGATGATGTAGATAGAAATGCGATGCGAGCTCTTCCTCCGCCCTCCCCCCGTCTCCCCCTGTTTTTAAAGTAAAATTGGCAAGAAAAAGTTTAAAACAAGGCCAATGCTTTAAAGAAAAAGTAAGGCCTTATCTCAAAACTCATCCAAAATTATAGTTTCGTATCAAAAAAATTCTAAATCGATCATCTCGACCTTGACCATTGTGGTTGTGAAAGAAAATTAGGATCTTAAGCCATAAAAATAATTACGGTATTTAATGCCTAGGCCTTATAGAAATTACATTCCAAAATAAGGTGAGGGTTTTTTTTTTTTTTTGTTCGTAATGCTTAGGCCTTATAGAAACTGCATCCCAAAATAAAAAAGTGACCATCAGATGCAGGTGAGTTTTCGAGGGTAACAAAGAGATGTATATAGGTAGTTCGGCTGACCAGATGCCATGCATGGAAGATCACTCCAAAACCGTAAGGCATTACTTTATCCCAACGACTTACCATGAAATAAAATTTGACTTGGAGCTCAATAAAAGCTCACAAGAACTTTCCCTCTGAATCACCCATTTGAATGACAATAAATCCAGGGCCTTAAGAGCTCAATTATTATTTTTTGGCTATTGTTTACTGTGAATCAAATATGACTTATGCATTTCCACAGAAAATTAGATTTCCCCTATGATTTATTGGGTGCTGGACTATTAATTTCCCATATATGAAAGTGGAAGGATGAAAATGCTTTTGAAATGTGCCGTTTTTTTGCTTTTCTTTATTTTCTATTATTGGGTGCTCTCCTTTTTCTTATCAGATTCCAATAATTATATTCTTTTAAATGCTTAAGCGGAAAACATATTTTACTCCTTATGCATGTGAACAATGGATTATACGCGGTATAAAAAATGCAGTGTTACGGCGATACTCAAGCCTGTACGGACAGTAAGCCCCAGAAAAATGTAAGAAATATAAAAATGTGAAAAATAAAATAAAAAAGTAGTACAAGTAAATCCAAACCAAAAATGACTTTAAAATGCATGAATAAGCTTACGCAAGCGGTAGAATAATGGATTTAAAAAAAACTGATTTATGTTTGGGCATTTTAAAAGAATGAAATTGTCTACAAAGAAACTATTTATTTTTGTAGATAGATGTCACAATCATGAAAATATCAAAATGGGTGGTTGATTATGGAAAGAAATACTAACAAATCTTTACCAAAAGCATCAAAATCATATACAAAAAATTTATACACCATTCCCATATTTTTTTTGTAATTTTTGAGATTCCTTTTTGAATTTTTAGGTACAACTCGGGACAACCTAGCCTTGCCTATAGGGTGAGTCCAGAGTAACTCTGCTGAATCCCCTAAGAATGCAAAATGTAAGTTTCGAAGAATTCAAATAGTTTGCCACGTCCTTCCCGACGGTTTGATTTTGTCAAGGATAGTTCAGATTTGTTGGTACAGAGTATGACACTATTTGATGGATCTAGTGTTCGAGAACCATCCTCTACTACCCCTTGTTGACATCCAAATAGATCAGTGTTTAGCACAGAGTACTTTCCAACAAAACAATAACTGGTTTTTGGGTGCTTGTAGTTCAGCTTCTAACCGTCTAGTGCTAATCTTCTCTGGCTCCGCCTAGCGAAGCTTTCTCCTCTACATAGGTGAGAGAGGATGCCGGGGTAGGCCTGATTTATTGTGCGGAACAGTAATTTGAGATGGAAATTGCCCTCAAAGTCGGTCCTCAGCTGAGCTGAGTTAGATCAGCAATTCTTATTTCGCTCTCCTGATTTGGCACTGTCTGATAAAAGAGAAGTTAATAAAACATAAATAAAAAAAGAAACTGAAGAATCAGATCAAATCTTGGATTCCTCAACCCTTTCCGAACCCGAGCTGAGTGTGTGATGTCCAGTTTTTTTTTCAAATATGCTTCTTTTGTTTCTAACAGATGATTTAAAAGCATAGTGCTTCTTTTCAGATTGGAATCTCCAACGACGGATCGTCCCCTGAGGACGGGATCACAGTGATAGACAACAAAGGCCTTGCTGAAACGATACTGGAGTCGATCATCGGGAAACATGGGGTTTCACCAGAGGCAACGAAATGTCTTGCAGAGCGCATCTCTCAGCTCTTGAGCAATCACTCAATCCCAACGCCTAAGCTACCAGTGGACCAAAACAATATTATTCCAGTCTAATGTGATACCGTGGGATCAAGTTTGGATCGCAGGTTCTTTGTTTAAATTAGATTTGGAGTGCCCTTATCATGCAAACAATTTGATGTGTTTATGTAAAGCTGAGAAGTTTTCAGCGAGATTGTTCGACTCATGTCAGTCTTGATTTTCAAAGGTTTTAGGGTCTGAGACAAATTTTAAATCACTGGAAACATCTTTCGACCCTAGATTTATGATTTTTTTTTTTTTGGATAATTCACTAGGGAGAGAAGGTCCCCCTATCTGATTTTTTTTTAATAATAAAAAACAAATACACTTAATAAATTTTAAACAGTGGAATCTGAGAAAGCTATAGCTTTTTTGACAAATAAATCAGCCATCATATTGGCCTCACAATTGATATGTGAAGTTAGAGCTACAAAAATAATATGCATATGATGATCTTTGAATAATTGAAATGAATGGTTGGAAAGGTCTCTAAGGCAAGATGCCACATCACGATGTCGTGACACTTAGGTTCTAATTAATACTCAAAAAGGACAACTGAAATGAATAGTCAAATTTATATAAAAATCATAGTATGATTGTTTCTGTCTCAAATTCCATATTAGTCTTTTCTCATGTTAGTGGGATGATATTTCTCTTATGTTTTCAATCCGACTTCAATCCTCAAGCTGAATTTTGAAAGGTGGAGGTTCTAAAATCGGGCCTTACGGGGATGCACCAAAACCGACCCTATGCACCCCTACTTAAATTATTAGGGGTCATATACTATATAGGGAAAAGTTTATATAAGGTTGCAACCTTAAAATGTAGAATAACATATGCACTTCAAAAATCTATTGAAAAATTTATCGGAAATGTTGTTTTAATGTTGAAAAAACCCTCTAATTGATCATCTCGACATTGAGATGTATGAATATGAAAAAAAAGGTTTTTGAGTCTCGGAAATAGTGCATCTTGCAACACATTATCTAGACCATCTATTTTTAAGATTTTTCATATATTTATAGATCTACTTGATTTTAACCATTTTTGAAATTTAAAATTTTATAATTAGGTATGAAAATAGATTTTAAGATAATATTAAGAATTTTTTATAACAAAATTACTTGTTATTATAAAATTTTAAGGTGTGCCTTAATTGGATTGTTTAAGGTTGCATCCTTATAGAAACCGTGCCCTATACGACAACACTATTTACTTTTTAGTAAATTACTAAGGGATTGTATGCTACAAGACAATTTACTTTTAGTAAATTTGTAAGGGATTGTATACTATAAGCCTATTTACTCTGGGCCGGACCACCAAACAAAGCATCTCTTAATGGGCAGGGCCAAATTGGCTCCGGAAAGCTTGAAAATGTGCCCAGCAGGCTGGGCCAAATTGGTCCTGGAAAGCCTAAAAATGTACCCAACAGGCCGGGCTGGCCACAGGTGCTCAGCCCATTTAGATTAAAAAAAAAAAAAAATCTTTACTTTTCAAACTTTTTTTGTTAGTAAGCCAAAAGAAGTAAATTACATAGATGCTAAATTATTTTTTAGAAAATTTAAAACCCATTCCCTTTCTCGAGAAACCCAACCTGTCTTTTTCTCTCAAAAAATCCGTTCTCTTTCTAAAAAATCAATCTCTCTCTCTCTCTCTCTCTCTCTAAAATCCTATTATCTCTAAAGACACAATCTCTCTCTTTCTCTAAAAACTTATGCTCTATCTTTCTCTCTCTAAAAACCGAATCTCTCTTTTTATCTTTAAAACTCATTCTCTCTATAAACCCAATCTCTCTCTTTCTCTCTAAAAACCCATGCTCTCTCTCTCAGTATCTTGGTGTAAATCCCAATTAATATTTTTCAGCAGGGAAATAAATGGGTGACATTCATATCACAATAAGATATATCTAACCATAGAAAGTCTAGGTGACCCTTCTCCAATAAAATAATATTTTCTCTTAATATCTATAGAGTTTCTCTCTCAATTAATTTTTGTTATAAAATAAACCCAAAATGACAATATAACAACTCAGTGTAGGCCACAAAACATTCTTCTAAGAAGGGATAGAGAATCATGACATTCACGTCACACGAACAATTTTCATTGCCGAAAAACAACATTTGAGCACCCTTCAATCAAATAATCATATATTTCAAACCGCAAGGATTTTCTCCATTAAAATATTTATGTTTGAAAGTAGACTTAATTTGGTTAAATTATGGTCAGATACTATCCAAAAATAAAAATATTTACTTAGTGGAAAAATTTACGGAATATAGTATACAGTTCTTGGTTTTTATGAGATCAGAACTGACATCCCTTAATGATGAATTCATAACTCTCAATTCCTCTATGATCTCCCATTGAAATTTTGTAGGGAAACACTTCTCTCAATAACAAAAAATATCACTAGGAAATGCTTAAGAAACATAACTCATTTTTTGGGTCATATAAGTGCTCCAAACATCACAAAAATACGATACTCTGCAGAGTACCTTTCGGTAAACATGACAATAATTTTTTCAGAGGTCTACCACTTGACAACAAAACCATTGGCTCTCAAGTTTCTGATCTGAAACTCACCAAGAACAACAACAAGAAGAAAAAGTTAGCACGATATCCACCTCTGTTACCAATGAAAGTTGGACGTGGTTAACTAGCACCGTATATGAGATTTAAAAATTTTCATTTTTGTACTGGCTATACTTAAAGACGTCCAAATATTGCAAATTTAACTCAAAATAAATAAAGATGAATCACAAAATGGATTCTCACTTGCTGCTACTTAATATAACTCTTTTATTTTAATAATAAAAATTATATAATACTTACTTGGGAATAAGAAACACAAACTGCATAAGAAGAAAAAAAAGTACCAGAAGATTACCTCAACTGGACTTGATATATCCCACTCTGAATCTTCTCCTCTAGGATCATGTTCTTTAAGAGATCTCACAAATATGGGAAGCTTTGGATAGAAACCCTTCAAAGATGAAAGCAAGGTGGAACCATCTTGAGCCACAAGACTACGTGTAGAGGGCCTGCCCCGCTAGGCTCTATGCTTAGGGCGTGACCCTCTTTTCTTCCTTTCAATAATGTTTTTTTACTCTTTTGGGGAGGCTAGAGAGATGAGAGGGATTAGAGAGAGAGAGAGGGCGGCATGCCACCTTTTTGAGGAGAGAGAGTTATCTTAAGGTGTAAAGACAGGACACCTAATGAGATATTATATAGACTTAGGGTTTTTAGGGTTTAGCCATCCTTATGGAAATTTGATCGTGAGTATTGATCATAAAAGACTTGTGGGGTGAGAGATCTTAGCCTTATAATTTATATGTCAGACAAAATGATCTATTGGAAGGTACTAGAACATTATCCTTCAGCTTCATTAACCTAATCCCATCAAATACTAAAAACATGGAAAATATTTTTTTCTTTCTTTTTATTTCCATTCATTCTCTACACATGCCTCTTTGATAAGTCAAATATCATTTCTATCAAAACCTTTCCTTATTTATTTCAATCACCTAAATGGCAAATTTTATGCCTCATCAAAATAAGAAGGTTTATGCACATTGTAGTGTTGGAGCCCCAAGTGGGCTCCACACACCTCCCCACATGCCATAATTTAGTGGGCACATGAAGTATAATAGGCCCTCATGTAATTTATTAATTTTAAAATTATGAAAATGATTTTTACAAATCATTTACTATTTTATTTTTATCTTTGAATAACCAAATACTGGATTTTATGGGATTTGGAAATAATTATGTTAAGGAAAATATGAAATTACTGAAGTACTTCGTCTACTACCAGAGACCATAAACTACACCCAGTTTCTCAAACTCACCGACCCACAGTTCATCACAGGGGTTCAATGTTGGGCTAATAAACTTAACCAATAGGTGAGGCGACACAATCCTAGTCTATGGATTACATGTTTCCCTAAGGACAAGCCTTAGGTTACACATACATGTGCACACATATCTCAATTACTGCATAGGGGTCTATCTCTTGTACATGTACACACATCACCTTCAATGATGTTTTGCTTCTCGATATAACTATCATGTGTATATGTCGTATGATGAAGCTTTGGCCCTTGTCCCTTCAAGCGTACCAATAACATATAAGGGTCGCAGAGTCCTTTGACTCACTTGACTTGGGCATCTCTGACAACATCAAGGGATAACCTTGCTAACCTTTCTCAGTTATGCTCTATGCCCAGGTATCTTAGGTTTTAGTACGCAACTGGCCTAGTTCGTCAAGCCTTGTTTGAGTATTGGCATCAATGTTGCCAACTTTGGTCCTTCTAGACTATAATCTTTTGGTCCCTTTGGACCATACTCCCACTGGAGTAATCATGTCACTATAGTCATACTTTTACCTGCTCCCAAAGGACTTTAATTGACCACATAACCCCAACACAGAGAACCTCGAAAATCAAGGAACAAAGTACTAATCTGCTAATATAAGTTGATCAAATTTGGCCACTCATTTTCTGAAATAAGCATTTGGCAAACAAGATGAGAATAAATACACAAATATTTATTTGGCCTCCTAAAAATTTCTCATAAGAAGAGAATGAATATACAAAAATGACATCGTACAATGGGGAATCCTTTTACAATTTAAAATGCATGTACTAATAGCATTCGACATCATCAGGTTTGGCTCTAATTTTTTGTCTTTGAGACTAGCTTTACAGCTTCCTAAAATGCTCATAGGCACAATTTTTTCACTCAACATCTCCCACAATGAGGTCTTTGAGGCGACTAACATGTTTGTCCAAACCCAACGTGCAAAATAAAAACCATGTACACCTACTGGTGAGATTTGATCAAATATTCGAAAGTCAAAACTAGTTCATTCCATGTAAACTAGTTCACGATATCAAGCAAAATTTACTGTGTTCTACTGCAGCTATAAATAGCTGTTAATGAGAGTAAATAAAGTGACAATCGCTTTCGATTTCATTTTAATATGATCATGAATCATAGCAAGTTGTTTATATATTATGGAGTTAAAATCTTCAGTACAAGATCAACAAATTGATCACAATTTTGTGATCTTTGTTGTTCTCTCTAACATCAGTATATAAGTCGTTATCAAGTCATTATTTTAAGAAATATTCATCTTAAAATTATGTGAAATTGATCTCTATATTTGAATGACACTATAATGCATTGGTTAAGTTCAATACATCAAAATTTTGCTGTTGCAAATCATGAACC